CCTCCGCTGTCGTAACAATATATATATTGTTTCAGATCTGTCAATGACTTCCCAAAACACTAAGTTCTACAAGCTCATTACCACGTTTTGATTCTAGTACTCTCTGTAGCCAACTAAACAAACCTTAAATATTTAAAAGCTTAGTCAACACATTTTAATGAAATTGTTGCTGAAATTATGACTTTTCTCTAGGTTGAAAAAGAAAATGTTAGTTACAACAAACCTAAAAAAAAAAACCTTTGACATTCTGATAATAAAGTATAATAAGCAAAACAAATATATAAGCTTAATTATAATTGTTACTTTCAGGTATATAACTTGTTTTCTGTATCCAAGTACATTGGCTTACAATATAAGTAATTTTTCATTTCTGTAAAAATTTTACATGTTTAATTGTTTTGGAAAAATCACACTGCTAATTTTGAAATGAACATCAATGAGTGTTATAGCTTACAATCATAACTCAAACCACTAATAATTTGAAACTCACTGACTTTTAATTACTTTAGTGTGAAGACAAATTAGTGATAAAAAACAAATATAATTGATTTTTAAATGTTAGGCTAACAATAACTGTGTTAACAATAAGCTACAGATATTTGGTATTTATGAGTATTTATTTCCAAGCTATAAGTATAAAAACAAAAGTTAAGACTAGTGTAGGAATTAAACATTCACAGTTTGTTAGGTGCAATGAGTGGGTTTTATTTGGGAACTCAGGACTGGCATGGACTTTTAATGAAGCTAGTAGTGAAGATGTGCAATTTGTATGTAAAGATTGTAGGTTGGAAGAGAAGTTAGAGGCAATCATGATTAAAGTAGAGGCAAGAGATAAAGAGAAGTGTAGGCTGTGAAATGGCAGCAGGATTTGAAGTGAGGCTTAAGCTTTTACATCCAAAGAATACATCAGTTAACAATGACTTTCAGGAAGTTAGAAAGAGTACTATTAGGGCTAAAAGTAGTAGATTTAATTATAATGAGCCTATTCTGTTAAGCAACAGATTTCAGCCCTTACTTCTGCAGACAAGGAACTATTGGAGGGAAGGAAAACAAAAGTGACAGAGAAGGATATGGATGATAAACTTAAGGAAGTTATAGTAACAGAGGATTCCTGGATAGTCTGTGGGGTAAGTAGGGAGAAAAGAATTAGATTATGCTACCGAGGGGCATTGGTGGAGAAAAAACTGACAGAGTAGGAAATATAATAAAGGGGACTAGCAGAGATGCAGTTTTTATGGTGCATGCAGAGGCTAATGATTTAGGGAAAGATAGGAGAGAGGAGCTAATTAAGCACAAGGGGTTGATAAAGGCATTTAAAGAAAAAGGCCATAACTAATTTTGTCAAAGATACTGCTCAGAATCAACTGTGTGGATGAAGCTATAAGTAGGTCACTAGGGATATATGCTAGGCTTAGGTTAGTATGTAGGGATGAGTAGATTGCCTAGTTGGACTTGTGGGATCAGTTCAGTAGAAGAAGGGAGCTTTTTGGAATGGATAGTTTACATTTAAATAAGATATGGTTACTAAGCTATGGCTATTAACTCAACTGTAAGGGAAGTTTTAAACTAGAATGAGACAGTGGTGAGGGCAAGGATAAACTAAATGCAAAAAGAATAAGAGGCAAAGAAAAGTTTAGCATAAGAAATGAATATAGAAGTAGTTATAAGGGTAGGCTTAATTGTTACTATTGTAATACTAGAAGTATAAGAAATAAAATATATGACTTTAGAGCACTGGTAGGAATGAAAGATTTTGATATAATGGGAATAACTGAAACATGGTTAAACAGATGATTTTGATGAAAGAAATTTCTTTGAAATACAGGATTACAAGCTGTTTAATAGGGATAGAGTACTAAAGAGGGGAGGAGTGGCTTTATATGTAAAATGTGAGTTACATCCTGGTAAAGTAGAGGATATCAAAGATAACAGTAAGGAGATCCATTTGGGTTTCTATTATTGGATATAAAGAGAAAAGGCTTTTAGTGGCAATTTGTTACAGACCACCAAATGATACTGATGAAACTAGTCAAAAACTTTACAATGAGATTAAGACTTCAGCTGTTAATGAAGTCATAATTATGGATGATTTTAATTTCAGGCTTATAGATTGGGAAATGCTGGATCAAACTTTAAGGGAAAAAGGCTTTTGGAAACTTTTCAAGGTGGCTTTCTTCATCAATTAATCAAGGAATCAACTTGAAACAAAGTTATTTTAGATTTATCGTTAACTTCAAATATAGGAATTGTCGAGAGGGTAGAAATTGGGGAACATCTGGGTGCAAGTGATCATTGCTCTATTTGGTTCAATATTTTGCTGCATATGGAGATAAGGAATAATGATATTTTGGTTACAAATTTCAAAAAAACAAATTTTGAAGGGATGCGACAAGAATTTTCTGAGTTATTTGGAGACACTGATCAGATGTGGAAAATTTTTAAATATTCAAGGTAAACATATTCCATATAGAAAGAAAAGGGTAGCTGCAAGTAACAAAACCAGGAGATAAAATTAAAGAAAAGCATCAGAAACTTAGGAAATTTAAATCAACTGGTACAACAGGAGAGTTAGAAGATAATAGAAGATCAGGAAAGTTGGTTAAACAGGAAATTAGGACATCAAAAAGGATGTATAAGAAAAAGTT